TTTTAATGGTATATATATTAGAGGCATGACGGTATGACGGATAATAGCTTAAGCTCTGGAGTCAGACTGGATTCAAACCCTGGTTCTAACATGTATTAAATGTGTGATCTTGGCCAAATACTGACATCTTAGGCCTCAGTCCCTGGGTGACACAATACACTGCACACTCGCAATGCTTTGAGGATTACAGGAAGTACATATAATGACTTGCACATAGTATCTGGCACATAAACACCAGCTTTTCAAACATGATGGAGAAGTGGAAAATTTTTTCAGAATACGCTATATGATATATGATCTTGGCTTTTTAATTTTTTTTCATTTTTATTTAGGCAGAAGGCTGGGAGAAAGAGAGATCATTCCAATGCCTGCAACAGCCAGAGCTGGGCCAGGACAAAGCCCTTAAGTCTGGGTCTCTCACATGGGTGCCGAGGACACACACTCTGTAGCCATCCCCCGCTGCCTCCCAGGCTGTGCAATCGCAGGTGGCTGGAGCGGAAGCAGAACCAGGACTCAAACCCATGCACTCTGACAAGGGGGTGTGGATGTCTTCACTGTATGCCAAACACCTGTCCCAGAAGTTGAAATTATGACTAAAGTAAAAAAAATAAATAAAAATAGGATTTCTCAATTCTCCATGTTTCCCACCTTATTCTAGGCAGGAAAAAAAAGTGTAGAGGCAGCAATTTTAAGTCCTCAAAAGAAAAACCTTGCGGGCCAAATAGAAAACTTCATCCACTGACTGTGCAAGCATGCAGGACGGCACAGGTGCGGCCAAGCGACCAGGGACACACGAAGCCACAGAGGAAGGCGCTCTCGCCTTACCTGCTTTTCCGTTTCCGAGGTGGTTTCTCCACTGTGCCAGTCAGTCTACAGAGCAAACAAATAAGACGGTAACTCCAACTCCCGTCCAAGAGCCGAGCTGGGCCCTGCACCCGCCGGGACCCGACCCGACGAACGCCCCGTCCCCCCAGCGCCGGCGCAGCCTCCGGGTCCGTCACCCCATCCCCAGCCTCTGTTCGTCACAGCCCAGCTCCCCCAAACCAGCCGCCTCCACCGCCTCATTGTCTGCCGCGTCACCCCCGCAATCCCCCCAGCCTCCGCTCTCCCGCGCCCACCCCCTCCCGCCCGTGCACGGCCCCTCCGGGCCCCGCCCCTCCAGGCCCCGCGCCCCCCGCATTCCACGGCCCCTCCGCGGGGCGCGCGCCCTGCCCCTCCCGGCCCCGCGCCCCCAGCCGCAGCTCTCGGCGCCCGTTCCTCCGCACGCCCCTCGCCCGGCCTCCAGGATGCGATCGCCGCTCAGCCCGCGCCCCCGGCCCTCGGCGCCCCCAGCCCTCCGGTGTCGGCGCCCCGAGTCGCTGCCCCTGGGCCCGCGCCCTCGCCCCCGCCCGATCCCCAACCCCGGCCTCCGCCCGGCTCCCGCCCCACCTTGGGGCCAGGCGACTCCGCGGCTGCTGGGGCTGCCGGGCTCCTCTGACCATCCGGCTCCGGCTCCGCCGCGGGAGATGCTCCGGCGGCCGCAGGGCTCGCTCGGCAAGCTGAGGCGGCGGAGGCTGGAGTAGGCGGAGAGGCGGGAGGAGGGCCTCGCGCCTCTGCCAGACTTGCCGCAGGGCCCGCCTCCTCCGCGCCTCTCCTCGGCTCCCATTGGCTGGGGCTTTAGTGTGGCCGAAAGCCTCGCAGCCGATTGGGCGCTAGAGCTGTCACATTCCGCGCCGCCTACCCACAGGTTTGGTTGAGACTGCAGGTGGCAGCAGAGGTGCCTTAGAGGCTGCTAGCGGGACCGGAGAAGACCTGAGCGCCACCGTGCGCCGGAAAGTAGGATCTGCAAGTCTGGCGCAAAACACCTGCCCGCAGGTTCTTTGGGGGGCTCTGCGTCATTCATCCCACACACCTGCTAGCGCCTCCCACCTCTGCACCACGCCAGGACCAAAAGTCAAGCAATGCAGTTTCCAAAAATTCCTCTGACAGGTGCGACAGTGAGGCACTTCTCCCAAACGAGCTTTCTTTTTGAACCACCTCAAATGCGGTCTCTTGTCTCTACAGCTTGCTGAAATGGTCTCGCAGCTCACAGCTAACCCTCATAGAAGATTCAGACATAAAGCTGTAAGAATCCACCAAAATAAAGCAGTTTGGATGCTCAGTCCTCCGCAGGAGAGATCCCCAGTTTGGGTGCAGGCTTTGAAGAATGCAAGATTTTTTTTTTTTTTAAATCATCATGAATTAAAAATCAACACTGCAAACAGAATTGATGCCATAATTAAAAGCAACATGTCTCATTTTGGAAGGCCAAAACAAAATTGATGCCTGGGTGTGTGCTAACCATCCTGTGACACTACAGATAATGGTTAAGTTCTAGTTAATTTTAAAATAAATTTCATGCAAAATTACCAATACATAAGCACAGTACTAGCTACCTTTTTCTACTTTAACAAGGCTAGCCTTGTAAGTATAAGGCACAGCTAAGATATCAGCAAATTCTCTAAGGTGGTGAAGCCTCTCAACAGCCCTATTCCTGAATACGGTTTTTCATTGGTAGGTTCTCATCATCTATTTGGGTCTGGGAGGCAGCCTGAGTTTCTCCTAAGACATTACCATTAGAAAATATTTTTTCTGATGTGAATGCCTAGAATACACATCAACAGCCAAGGGATAAATCTTTCATATATCCATAAATGGCAAAAAATTAGGATATTTTTCCACAAAAAGGCTGCCCTTTATTTGAGATGGTTATTTTTGTGTCTGATAGTAACATGGCCTTCCTCTTACAAATACTGATGGCAAACTGTGCTGGGACCACTTACACAGCTTTGATAAGGAAAAATGTTGCTGAATCTCCATTGGTCCCCCAAATTAATTTTATGACACTGTTTGCTTCAACCCCCACCCCAAACAAGTGTTTCTACCTATATTATCAAGCCACAGAGAGAGAAGTCCAGGATAATTTGTCAACCAATGGGGAGGCTCGTAAGATATTAAAATTCTCTGCCTGCTCTTCAACATCTTCTGTCATTGGCCAACTCTCCGAAGCTATTCGTCCTCCCACTGAATACCCTCAAGTGTTATCCTCGTGATGTGTCCAAGTTCTGGTAACCTCTGCTTCTGTGTTCTTACTCTGTAAGATACATACAACCCATTATTCCAGCCCATATTAAATTTACACTCCCTCTTTTTAATCCTCCCCAGTTATCCCATCTCCCATTTAACATTTCCTTCCACAATGAATTGTAATTTAAAAAGCTGCAAGACGGACAGCTGCTTGGCAAGTTGAAGATGCCAATTGGGACTACACTCCATATCAGAGTGCGTAGGTATGAGTCCTGCCTCTGCTTCTAACTCCACCGTCCTGCTTACACACAGCTTGGGAGCAACCAGTACTGGCCCAAGTGTTTGGATCCCCACCACCCACAAGGGAGACTCAGACTGAGTTCTGGGGTCTCCTGGCTTTGGCCTGGTTCAACCTCTGGCTGTTGCCTTCATTTGGGAAGTGAAACAGTACAATCTCTCTCTGCCTTCCCAATAAATTTTTAAAATTTTGTTCCCAATTAAGTTTAAAAATTAAAAAAACCACAATATAGTAGCAATTACATATTATCTCGGATTATTACTTCCTAACTACACTGAAGCAGCAAATGTTGCATGAGCATGAACACTCAATAAACGGCAGCTTTGGGTCAGGAACTGAGCTCTTTGTGTGTGGAAACAAGATTCAGAGAACCCAGCTTGCTCAGGATCACAGAACTACAGTAACCAAGACAACTTAAGATAGCAATAGTTTACAATGTACTCTGGTGTGCCCTACAGGGTTCAAATTCCAGCTCCCCTGTGCAACCTGGAGCTAGTTACCTAGCATCTCTAAGCCTGTTTCTTACTGGGGTAGAACGAATAAAAAAAAAAAAGATATTCACATGTCCACAGAAAGGATATCACAAAATAGGGCATATGTGGCAATGGCCAAATGCACTCTGCACAGGTTAGCTGCTACTGCTGCAGGGCACAGCTGTTTGCCTTGTTTTGCTTTTTAAACTCGATCTGGCTGTATTCTTTCCACTATTCCATGCTTTCTGCAGTCTTGTATACCCCTTCCCATTTACAGACAACAGCAAAGTGCTGAAAATCAAAGTGCTACCCAGGGAATGAATGGAATACTTACATGGATAATTTGGCTGACATACACAAAATCTTCTATAAATGTCATACATTTTTGAACTAAGAAAACACTGGAGAGATCCATGCCAGCCTAAGTTTTCTCTCACAAAGGAAAAAGGCATAAATTCACCAACTGATCAGAAAATAGAAAACAGGAGCACGAGGAGCCAACCTTCCTCAGAAATCGAGTGTGCATCGGGTTCAAGTCCCAGCTGCTCTGCTGCCTATCCAGGCTCCTGGTGCGACCTGGCAGATGGAAGATCTCTCTTTGTCTCTGTCTCTCCTTTTCTCTAACTCTTCCTTTGGAATAAAATCTTAAAAAAAAAAAAAAAAAATTCTGGGGCTGGCAAGGTGGTGTACATCCCATATGGGCACTGGTTCGTGTCCTGGCTGTTCCTCTTCGATCCCAGCTCTCTGCTAATGACCTGGGAAAGCAGTGGAAGATGGCCCAAGCGCTTGGGCCCCTGCATCCGCATAGGAGACACAGAGAAACTGCTGACTTTGCATCAGCTCAGCTCCAGCCATTGCAGCCATTTGGGGAGTGAACCAGCAGATGGAAGATCCTTCTCTCCCTCTGTCTATAACTCTGCTCTCAAATAAATAAATAAAATCTTTTTGTAACAAACCCCGTGGGGCTGTCATCATGCTAGGGGTTCCCAATGTTTGGTTTTGCTGTTGTCCATGGCAGACTGTAAACACACAACTGAAAGAGCTGTGGTGACCTCCTGGAGCACAGCCCTGGGCACTACGTTCAGGCCACGATAAATCCCACCTTTCAGGAACTGGAACACAGCTCAGAGTCTAATGCAGAATGGAAAAAAGTTTCACTTTTGTTTACCAGTCAAGCAACCAAGTAAAGGAAGAAGCATTTTTTAATTTAAATGATGTTATATAAAATGCTAACTTCTTGTCAGGACATACTACAGACTATGCATTGGATGAAATTATTTTTTGACAAACTTCCTATAATCTTTTTATTAATTTACACTGAGGGAAGATAGCACCTTTCATCCAAAGAACTGAAGGTGCTTTACAAACATTACATTTAAAAAACAATTACATTTAAAAGTCTGGATTCTTGCTGTTAAAGCTCTGACTCCTGGAAGCTGACGGAAAACAGTTGTATTTCTGACAACGAATGAGGCTCAGACAGAGTCCTGATTTGCTTTTAAGATACAGGCATTTTCCAAAACCTGGTGCTGGGCTTACAAAGCAAAAACACACACATCGTAACACAGCGAACAGTGTTTCAAACCTTATTTCAAAAGCGAAATCCAGAGTTTAAGATGTCAGAATCTCCCAACAGTTCTAGACATCCAGACGGAATAGGAGCTGAAGTACAGTTGCATATGAGGTGTACTCTCGATCCAGGCTTGTTAGGATCACACTCAAAGGAACACATTTCAGGTAGTGAGATTTTTCAGGGAAACACATTAACCTACAAAAAGCTAGCCACGAGAGGAAAGGAAGCAAATGGCAATTCAACGTAGACAGTTCTCACTAGAGCCTAGGACACTTTATTTAGAAACCAAGTATATCATCATAGGCAAATAAAAATAGTTCTTACCCCCATTAATACAACATAAGGGATTTTACATTCAGACTAGATATAGGGAGTAACAGGCCCTCCTGCCTCCAAATCCACCACCTGCAAGTTTCTTCCACCACATGATTGCTCCATATGGTACATAGCCCTTATTTATCAGAGGGGTCCAAATATTCCTTTCAGTCTTCACAAAGTCCAAGACATTCACTCTTTCTTCCCTTTACATGTCTAGTAGTAAAAACTATTTTCTCCATGCAAAAAGCCATTATTCGGTTGAAGAGATACCAGGCAAAACAGAAATGGCAGATCAGGAATGGACAGAATATTATTGGCACATGCCCAACTAGTGACAGACAAATGCAGTACGCCATGACCTACAAATAAAAGTCACATTACAGGGATAATGAAAACAACTACATCAAATTCAGCTAAGGGGTGTCAAACGGGAAGGGAAGGCTGAGGGTTACCGATTTTATTGGTACAACTGAAAAGCAGTGGAACGCAAGAACTTAAATACAAGTTATGGTTAACAGGGGGCAAAAAAATACTGTAGAGAGCTGTTCAAAGACCACACCAAGTTGTCTGCATCGTTATTTCCAGTGTTTCACAATTAGTAAAATACACAGCTACATATCCCTGTAAGATAAAAATAACTTTCCACCTGAATTACACTGGAGTCAGAGCAGTAACACATTAGTGTTACTGGCCCAACATTAGTTCAAGTGTGTGCAGCAAATGTCTTAGCCACTTCTTTATATAGCTATACAATTAAAAACTGTACAAGGAGCTGAGTGGTTAGGGGAAAAAAATCAAATCAAAACAGTATTGTGCTCATTCAATAAAAGGAAACCCTGATGAAAAATTATGTGCCAAGAAGCTTAGACTATAAAGATTTTTATTGCATTTTTAGGTGACCTGGAAGTTTTTATCCTGAAGGGGAAACGTTGGTTTTCAAAACCACCTGAACAGATGCTAAAGTGCTTTATTAATTGGCTGGCTTCACATGGATTTCCTGGAATGACAAGAATTAATTATTAGCAGTAAAGGGATACCACGTTTTCACAAAATGGTACATTCCAACATCATTTACGACTACAGTCATAAGAGATACTGGAATACTTGTCCTTATTAAAGTGGACAGTTGCATATCAAGAACTGATCATCACAACCCTTTGGATATTCAAATCACTTACATAAAGCCGAAATATGGTATCACAGACCTTTACAAAAAAAGGACAATTTGTTTCTTGCTACGCTTCAAATAATCTGTTTCAGATTACAGTTTACAAATACAAGAGACCTGACTTTTCAACCTTTCCAGTTGCAGTTAAAAAATGAACACTTTCTGAAAGTTAAGGTCAAGTGTTACAGCAAGAGAATGACTACTATTGAAAAGTACACAGATTTTACTTAATGATACTCATGATAGATTGTAAACTGGATCAATCGCATTCTACTCAACTGGTATCAAATGAACACATCAGCATTACAAGTATTAAATGTTTCTCTATTACTATAGAGGATATAACCAAAACATTAATATGGCAGTTACGTTCTTTAGGCACACTTTAGTGATTTTTTTTAAAATAAATACTACTTAATTTCAATTGAAGTTTTAAACTCAAAAACCATAGGGCCAAGAATTCTAATTAGGAAAAAAGAACGGTAAGCTAACAATGTAAGCTGTTTAAAATTTCTTACACTTAACCTATCTGGATTTTATTTAAGATTACTTTATTAAAAAATACAAGGAATTTGAAAAAAGATCATTACAATTATTTTAATATACAAAGTCATACGCTGTAGCAGTTTTTAACTAAAATTTAAAAACACAACAAGGAGGGCAGCCCTTTAGACCAATTTATTTTATATCCATTTAAAATATCATCCAACAAAGGACAACGGAAGTTTACAGCTGGGACAGGTGTACATAACTCGAGGCATCTGTAGTCCATCGTGCCCACTGAATAACAACTTTGCTGCTGAAATTTCTTAAAATTTACCAAATTAAAACAAAAGGCTCAATGATACAAAAGGTGTTTTCGGTGTAATTGTCAATTGGCTTTTTTAAAAATGGAAACACATCCTGTTTCCCCAGACCAGTAAATATGCAAGAGCTACATGCAGCAGTATGTGTATTAAGACATTTCTCAAGTCTTCTCAAATGAGTCCAAGGTGGGGATGGGATGGAGGAGAAATTGATAGAAAAACATTGCTATAGACACCATAACAAACAATAAACTCAGATAATTTAAAATCAAAAAAAGGCAAGAGGCAGCATTTCAGCAGCAAAGTGCTCAATAAAAAGTATACTGCAGAGGGTAATACGAGAGAGTCGGGGGAAGAAGAGGGTAGAGAAGTGGGTCAGCAGGATGGGCGAAGGCCTCAAAGGAAATACGGCGTCGTCGTTCTGGGAGGGATAACACGTTCTGAATCTGGAACTGCCCGGAATAACTTTGGTTCTCTTGTATTTACATCTTTGAAGACCATGATTGAAGCAATATTTCCACAACGATAGCAGTAATTAGGAGCAGACCATACTGTTACCAGCTTTTCATCAAACATAAATTTATAGCCTTCATGCACTAGTTGATGTGCTCTGCAGATGAGTTTTAGGTTGTTGATATGAACAAACTGCAATTCAGAAAAACTTTGTAAGCATTCAGAAAATCTTTTGAATGTGGCCTATAAGATATAAGGTACAATCATTTAAAATATCGAATTCTGCTGAAGTTCCCATAATTTTACAACCTGTTCTATAATTATCCCTGTAAAATTTCAATACATCAGGCACAGTCACTTTGGCCTGAAGCAATTACAGAGCTACAGACATCATACAGCCACATAATTTGATGTTTCTGGAAGAGTTAGATGAGTACTACCGTATAGGAACAGTTTCACTTTTACAGTTAATAAGAAATATTTGTATCAATATAATATCAGTTACTGAGAATGCAGTATATATAGTTCTTGAAATAATTATCCTTCTTTTGCAACTTGAGGAAACAAAGGCTGAGCCTGGATAAACAGCATACCCAAGTTCCACTGATGGACTCAACCCACGCCTCCATTATGCGGAAGCCTTCCCAAAATGCCATCATCCCATGTGTGCACATGTGTGCGTTTAACTGAAAACAGTTGACCTTCAAAAAGTTGCCTGTCTTGCCCATGCTGTCGTGTATTTAACTGCCACATTTGAAAGGAAAGGAGCACTTACTGTATACACAGCACAGGTGGACCCTGGAGTAGGAGCTTTCACAATTAACCACTATGGAAAGGTATGTGTGAATAAACCAGACTAGAAATGGGATATCCATAGCGCCCACAGTTGGAGGAAACTAGACTACAAATTTGCTTTCTAAGGCCAACATAATTCTGTACACAGTCCATTAGCAACCAACAAACTATTTTTCCAAAAATGTTGACTTTACCTCATTTGTGACCTTTGCTCCAAAAAGCCAGCCTGCTCCTCGGGGGCTGATCGCCCAGGTGTCCACATCCTCAGGGTCCGACCAGACCAGGTCACAGAACGCTCCTTTATGAGGGATTTCCTGATTCCGCTCGATAGTTCGAATCTGATCCAGTGTTTTGATATCAGGAGATAAACCACCATGAACACACAAAATCTGCTCATCTATTAACTAGCAAAAAGAAAAAAACAATAAAGAGGTGAATGTATAATAAACTCAGCCATATCTAAATTCATCAATGAATGCTAAAGATATCAATATAACTGACATGACCATCAGATAAAAATATGTAGTAAGTCACTGACAGGAAAACAGTTGAGGTTTTTAAAAAGATTCATAAAAACCTACAGCTGCTACTGTGAGCATGTCGAAAACTTTGGTACAGTATCTCCAGGCATTAGCATTTCCATATTTGGTTTGGCACTCATCTGTGAAAGAAAAAGAAAAATTCTCATTAATGAAGCTCTGAGTTTGCTGATAAAAATAAACAATGTATCCAGTACTAGAGCAGTCTTAAGTACAAAAGAAATTCAGCTTAAACTGGGATGGCAAATTATGACACATACTTGGCTCTACATACAGCACCTATCTCTGAGTGTGTGTGTGTGTGTGTGTGTGTATGTCTTAAGGATATGGTCTTGCTTTTCATTCCAGAAATGGCCCTAAGAAGCAGCTGAAATTATTGGCCAAAATGCTATCATCAGGAAGAGCTAAAAACTAATTTCACGCAACCTAAAGCAAACACTTTTGGCAGTTATGTTAATATTAGGCAATTTCATCAAACAGATTAATTTATTTAATGTGACTACCTTATTACAGCAGGATAATCAAATCAAATAAATTAGAAGATCCATAATTATAGAAGCATGAGTAATTCCTAGCTCAACATTTCTCAGGCCCAAGTTGTCTGCTCCGAGATTTTCTGTAAACTGTACAAGTAAACACTTAACTCACTAGGTACACTTGTTGGCCTTGCTGAAGACAGACTGTTCATCAGATTTTGATATATTCCCAGCTGAATCCTCTCTGCTATGTTGTTGACAGGATACATATCTGTTCTTTTAATAAACACTATCAACCTTTGCTATGCAGTTTCTTAATAAAAAAAAAAAAATCTAAGAAGGTTTTGGTGTAGCAGTTAAGATGCTCCTTAGGGGCCGGCGCCGCGGCTCACTAGGCTAATCCTCCACCTAGCGGCGCCGGCACACCGGGTTCTAGTCCCGGTCGGGGCGCCGGATTCTGTCCCGGTCGCCCCTCTTCCAGGCCAGCCCTCTGCTGTGGCCAGGGAGTGCAGTGGAGGATGGCCCAGGTGCTTGGGCCCTGCACCCCATGGGAGACCAGGATAAGCACCTGGCTCCTGGCTCCTGTCATCGGATCAGCGCGGTGCGCCAGCCGCAGCGCGCCGACCGCGGCGGCCATTGGAGGGTGAACCAACGGCAAAGGAAGACCTTTCTCTCTGTCTCTCTCTCTCACTGTCCACTCTGCCTGTCAAAAAAAAAAAAAAATAAAATAAAATAAAATAAAATAAAAAAAATAAAAAAGATGCTCCTTAGGAGGAAGGTGTTGTGGGCAGCCAGTTCAGTTGCCACTTGGGCCATGTGTGTGCCCAGGCCAGAGTGAGGGTTTGAGTCCTAGCTACTCTGCTTCCAATCCAGCTTCCTGCTGAAACGTCCTGGGGGCAGCAGATGGTGGTTCAAGTGCATGTGCCCCTGCCATGCATGTGGGAAACCTGGAAACCTGGATGGAGTTATGGGCTTCTAGCTCTGGCCTGGCCTGACCCAGCCCAGCCCAGCCCTGGGCATTTGGGGAATGAAATAGCAGATGAAAGAGATCTCTCTCCACCTTTCAATCAGATGAAAAAATAAATATTTTTTCAAAGATGAAGCTTAGGATGCATGCATTCTATAACAGAGTACCAATCCAGACTCAGCTCCTGATTCCAGCTTCTAGCTAACACATATTCTGGGAAGCAACAGGTGATGGCCCAACTACTTAGGTTCCTATCACCCCTGTGGAAGACCCAGGTTGAGTTCTTGGCTTCTAGCTTCAACCTGGCCCAACCCTGGCTGTTGCAGGCATTTAAGGAGTGATCTAGCAGTTGGGAGATCTCCCTATCTCTGTCTTTCAAATAAATAAGTAAGTAAGACCTAACATACCACATTATCATAAGTACCACTAAAAATGGTATAGGAAGGAGACTAGGCTATCATCAATCTTCATCATTTTCTAAATTTTATTTCTGTATGAAGCAAGACCTTACATAAACTTGCCATGAGAGATTACCACTGAGCTCCTTTTGCAGATGCTTTGCGTTTTTACTTTTTACACAGGCAAAGCACATGGTACTTAATAACTGCACAATATATTCTTATCAGTGTGAAATAAAGATCCAAGATAATTCATAACTATATATGGACACTTTATTACTTTAATTTTAATCTAAGTTCCATAACTAAAATCATTTCCTTCCTATGGGCTTTCTGGCTTCTCTTATTAAATAAAACCACTCTAAAAACACTAGATAAAGACAGCTTTGGGATCAAAAAAAATATAGTACTAGATCTTGTGCTATTGTCATTTTCCTCAGTCAAGACATATTTTTTTTTTAAAGATTAATTCATTTATTTATTTGAAAGTCAGAGTTACACAGAGAGAAGAAAGGCATTGAGAGAGAGGTCCTCCATCTGATGGTTCCCTCCCCAATTGGCCGCAACAGCTGGAGCTGTGCTGATCCAAAGCCAGGAGTCAGGAGCAAGATTCTTCTGGGTCTCCCATGTGGGTGCAGTGACTTGGACTTCCATGACTTGGGCCATCTTCTACTGCTTTCCCAGGCCATAGCCAAGAGCTGGATTGGAAGAGGAGCAGCCAGGACTAGAACCAGCGCCCACATGGGATGCTGGTGCTTCAGGCCAGGGCGTTAATCTGCTGCGCCACAGCGCCGGCCCCAAGATATATATATATTTTTTAAAGATTTATTTTTATTTGGAAGTCAAAATTAAACAGAGAGGAGAGGCAGAGTGTGTGTGTGTGTGGGTCCTCCCTATTGGCCGCAACAGCCAGAGCTGCGCCCATCCGAACAGTCACAACTTATTAATTAAAATGTCTTCCTTAGTGCTAGCATTGTGGTGCAGTGGGGCTGAGCATCCCATGAGCACCAGTTCAAGTTTCAGCTACTCCACTAATGCACCTGAGAAAGTAGCAGGAGATGCCCCAAATAATGCCAGCCAGGTTGGGTAACCCAGATGCAATTCCAGGCTCCTGGCTTCAGCCTCGCCCAGCCCCCGCTGTTGTGGCCATTTGGGGAGTGAACGAGTGGACAGAAATCTCTCCCTCTGCTTTTCCCTCTCTCTTTCTAACCTTCCCTTTCAAATACAATTAAAAAAAAAAAACAACTTTAAATAGATACGTATTCCCAGCTACTTCACTTGCAATCCAACTCCTGATGCTAATGTGTCTGGGAAGCAGCAGATGATGGTTCAAGGATTCTGAGTCCCTGTGACACACATGGGAGACCTGGATGGAGCTCCTGGTCTCAGACTGGCCCAGCCCTTGCTTTTGCAGCCATCTGGGGAGTGACCAGTAGATGGAAGATTCTCTCTCTTTCAAATAAGTAAATATTTTTTAAAAATCAGTCCTATATAGGGCCAGTGCTGTGGTATACTAGACTAAGGCTCCGCCTGCAGCACCGGCATCCCATATGGGTGCTGGTTTTTATCTCAGCTGCTTCTCTTCCAATCCAGCTCTCTGCTATGGCCTGGGAAAGCAGTGGAAGATGGCCCAAGTACTTGTGCCCCTGCACCCATGTGGGAGACCAGGAAGAAGCTTCTGGCTCCTGGCTTCAGATGAGCTCAGCTCTGGCAGTTGCAGCCATTTGGGGAGTGAACCAGAGGATGGAACACCTCTCTCTCTGTCTCTACCTGTGTCTGTAACTCTGCCTCTCAAATAACTAAATAAATAAAATCTTTAAAAAACAGCATGTGTACTAAATTCTAAAAAAATTCGCCCTATATATAACATTAGTCTTATATACACAGGTTTAGCATCCCTAATCAGAAATGTTCCAAAATCTGAAATGTTTTGGGTGCTGACATGATGCCATAAATCTCCGCAAGATGTTAGACAGCCACTTAATAGTGCTGTTTTCCTGAGGGGATACAAAATTTACCCACTCATAATTACAACACAATCCATAATTAATGATGCAACAAAGTAAGTAAATATCTCAATGTAAAAGTACACTAAAAATATTATATAAAATTACCTTCAGCCCAAGTGTATAAGGTGTTTATGAAACATAAATGAATTCACAGTTAGACTTGGGTCCTATCCCCAATAATGTCTCATTATGTATATGCAAATATTCCAAAATCCAGAAAAATCCTAAATCCAAAACACTTCTGGGCCCAAGCATTTCAGATAAGGTCTACTCAACCTGTATAACAGCACATATAACATTAGTCATATATATTATACACGTTAATCTTATATATAACACATAGTAATGTGTTGCCTAACAACCTTTCTGCCACAGTGGACTGCATATGAGATAGTGGTCTGCTAAGACTGTTTCACCAGGATTGTACCACCTTGTGAGACACTGTAGCATCTCAGTCTGCAAATATACTCCGTGACAGCTGCACCAAAATTACTTAACAAAACACTTCTCAGAAACTATTTCTGCCCTAAAGTGATGCATGGTTGTGTGATATGAAAAACAATCTTAGTTTTGCTTTCATTGAACCTTAGTATGTTATCCAAAATATTTTCAAAAACATTATCAAAAATTTTATTTAAAATACTATATGATATTTTGTGAATTAAAATCAAAAGTTACTCGTAGAAAGGAAACAAACATTAATCATCTAACTTTACATTTAATGACTGAGTTTTGCTTCTAACCCCTGAGACCTTAGCGTCCCTGGGGCCAACTCAGAGATTTGTGTATGTAAAAGAATATATCTAACAGTAACTGAAGGGGCTGGCACTGTGGCATAGCAGGCAAAGCCGCCGCCTGAAGTTCCGGCATCCCATATGGGAGCTGGTTCCAGTCCCAGCTGCTCCACTTCTGATCCAGCTCTCTGCTATGGCCTGGGAAAGCAGTAGAAGATGACCCAAGTCCTTGGGCCCCTACACCCACATGGGAGCCCTGAAAGAAACTCCTGGCACCTGGCTTCGGATAGGCCCAGCTCTGGACATTGCAACCATTTGGGGAGTGAACTAGCGGATGAAAGACCTCTCTCTCTCTGCCTCTGTGCAACTCTTTCAAATAAACAAACAAATCTTAAAAACAAACAAACGAACAAAAAAACAGTAACGGAAAAACAATTCCAGGTTCCAGAGTTGTAGCATGGCAGGCTAAGCTGCTGCCTGCTACTCCAATATCCCATTTATATGGAACATATTGAGACTTGCACAGCCCTTTTTCAAAGAAGAAAGTAAAATAATATTTGGACTCAGAGAAACAGAATGTCTTACCATAAAATCCATACACCTGTGTTATCTGTCTACTCTCATGATTTCCTCGCAAGAGTGTAATACGATCAGGCCATTTAGCCTTTAGTGCGAGAAGGTAAGTGAAGGTCTCCAAGCTGTAGTAACCTCTGTCTACAAAATCACCCTGTAAAGTAAAAGCCTACAGTTACAACAACACAACAGTGGTAACATTCTCTTAAAATTATATCAAGGTGTGCAAACAAAGACACATCCCAGAATAACAGCAATAAAGAATTATACATTGTATTATTTGGAAACTAGGTTTCAACAAAAAAATTCAAATATTAAGTAAATCAAACTGTGTTTATGATTCAAGAGAGGCCTATAAGAATCTGCCATATATTTCTCTCAAGGATTTTCTCTGTGAAATCATTATTTCAATCCTCTATTACTGACATTAGAAGATGCTAAAAGTTATGTGTGAATACAATTCTTTAAATTAGTTTTAAATTTTAAAAATTACTTTAGCTGGGGTTGGTATTGTGGTACAGTGGGTTAAGCTGTCACTTTAATACCAGTTTCTCATATCAGAGTGCTGGTTCAGGTCCCAGCTGCTCTGCTTCCCATTTAGTTCCTTGCTAATGGGCCTGGGAAGGCAGCAGCAGATGGCTCAAGTACCTGGACCCCTGCCGCCCAGGGAGATCACGACTGAGTTCCTGGCTCTGGCTTCAGCCTGTTCCAATCCTGGCCACTTAGGCACTGAACCAGAGGACAGAAGATCTCTCTCTCTCTCTCTCTCTGCCTTACAAATAAATAAATAAATATTAGGAAAAAGTCATTTTTAACTGTATCAAAAGAGCTGCCTACTTGAAGTAAACTTTTTTTCTGAAAAGCAAATACTCTATGTACAAATGTCCTGTTTTATGATGAAACAGCACACTTTCCATTAATCTTTGTCTTGGACCAATATGACACCAAAAGCAAACAGTTAACAGATTAGGAAGGTGGCCCAGAAACTTTCTGAAGGATGATAATAATGGAAGGATTCAGAAAACATTCAACAGTAACATGACATTCGAAAAGGAAAGTACAAATACCCCCCTTAGTAGCTATGTGTATAAGGGGACGGCAAAATTTTGTGGGAAAATGGTATTAAAAAATAAGCTGAGGGGACCAGCGTTGTGGCTTTATGGCATAATGGCTTAAACTGATGCCTGCAACACAGGCTCAAGTCCCAGAAGCTCTGATTCCAATCCAGCTCCCTGCTAATGTGCCTGAGAGGGCAGAAGAAGGCCCAAATCCTTGGGGCCCCTGCACTCATGGAAGATCTATCTCCCTAACCCTCCCCATAACTCTGCCTTTCAAATAAATAAAATATATCTTTTTAAAAAATAAATCAATCAATCAAGGGTACAGCAGATTAGGTTTCTGCCTGCAGCTGCCATCCCATATGGGTGCCAGTTTGAGTCCTGGCTGCTCCACTTCCCATCCAGCTCTCTGCTATGGCCTGCAAAAGCAGTAAAGGATGGCTCAAGTCCTTGGGCCCCTGCACCCACGTGGGAGACCCAAAAAAAGCTCCCGACTCCTGGCTTCGGTTCGTCCCAGCTCCAGCCATTGTGGACATTTGGAGAATGAACCAGGAGATGGAAAATTTCTCTCTGCTTCTCTCTCTACCTCTCTCTCTGTAACTCCGCCTTTCCAAATAAAAGAAATCTATTTTAAAAAAAGTTTAGGGTAGGCATTTCACCTAGAGGTTAAGACACTTACATCCTCTAACAGATGCCAGTGTTAGATACCCAAGTCCAGCTCCTGACTTCAGCTTCCTTCCTAATGTGACTCTGGGAGGCAGAGGCGTCCATCCAGGTACTTGGGTTCCTTCCTTCATGTAAGAGACCTGCGTTTCCATTTCCCAGCTTTACCCAGCCCAGTTCCAGTCACTAAGAGCATTAAAGCAATGACGAGGGTATGTCTCTCTCTGCCTCTTGAATAATTTTTTGAAGTTTATTTTGGTACAAAAATATTTGAAATCCACACACTTTTTTATAAGATGCATTTTCCCTGTGTTTTCAAGTAATCTCACATGTGTGTATATTCATCCATCCACAGGTTAATAAGAGATGAAAATGAATGCTCAAAAAGTTTACAATTATTCTCAATTAGAGGATACTGGCAAAATGTAGAAAAATAGATAAGCACTTTTTCATATATTTAAATAGCAAATGTCATATGACAATGGAATCATGCAACTTACATGTAATAAATCAAATCCCTTCCATTTTATATAAGCACATGACATCACCGGTGTTTACATACCATAAATATGTAGTTTGTGTCAGGAACCTGACCTCCAGTTCTGAATAGTTCACAAAGGTCATAAAACTATTAAAAAAAAAAAGCAGTATATACTGATTATAAATTCTAGAGCAAAATAATAAAGCTGAGACTGAAACATATAAACAATCAGCTAATTAAGAGAACTCCAAATATTTACTTCTGTAAGAAGGAATAAAGTGTAAGCAAAACTGCTAAGCACAGTTTCCAAGCCTAAAGAAAACCCACTAAATAACTCAATTGCCATAATCATTCATAGATGACTAATATTACAGGTCCTTCCTCTCAAATTTCACCCATATATCTCAATTATCTCTCGAGAATTTCTATATCATTTTTTAAACCAGTTATTCAAATTCTAAACATGCTAATCTAAACATCTCACCCACATTAAGCATCTTATTTTAATGATACAAAAGTTAACACAGCAAATAGATAACAATTTTTTTCCTAAAAACTCAACATGGAGGGGCTGGCACTGTGGCACAGTGGGTTAAAAGCCCTGGCCTGTAGTGCCAGCATCCTATATGGCAGCCAGTTCAAGTCCTGGCTGCTCCACTTCCAATCCAGCTTTCTGCTAATGGGCCTGGAAGAGCAGCAGAGGATGGCCCAAATCCTTGGACTCCTGCACCCATGTGGGAGATCCAGAAAAAGCGCTGGCTTCTGGCTTCTGACTGGCTCATTGCGGCCATTTGGGTAGTGAACCAGCGGATGGAAGACATCTCTGTCTGTGTCTTTACCTCTCTCTGTAACTCTTTCAAATAAATCCTTTTAAACAAAAACAAAAACAAAAACAAAAACAAAAAACTAAACATGGAACCTGAGTTGTGGCATAGCAGTTTAAGCCAGCACCTGCAACGCCGGCGCTAATTCAAGTCCCTGCTGCTCCACCTCTAATCTATCTCACTAATGTGCCTGGGAAAAGCAGCAGAAGATGGCTCAAATACTTGGGCCCCTGTGCCCACGCAGGAGATCTGGAAGAAGCTCTTGGCTCCTCGCTTCAGCTTGGTCCAGCCCTGGCCATTGAAGCCATTTGTGGAGTGAACCAGCAGATGGAATGTCTCTCGCTCTGCCTCTCTTTCTCTCTAATTCTGCCTTTCAAATAAATACATCTTAAAAAAAACAAGGTGGCTGCCTAAAAGTTCGACTCAAAGAGCCATGTAAATACTTTTCCTTGAGTAAACCATCTTTCTCTGGTGTGCAGTAAATATGATTTATGCATTCTTCCTATGTCATCATATGGAATATTCAAAAGATATATATATATACTTAGGTAGACAGTTAATAAAATTAATATTTACTGCACCACTAAAGGCATCTTGGAGTGAAACTAGCATTTATTTTACTGTGCCTATGTATGAATACAGAAGTCAATGATCACTAGCATAGTCTGTACCACTTCCTTGATTCATGTGGAGGCAAAAGCAATTTTACCACTTTAGGCACCTCCAAGGGTCTATGTAGGCCATACTTGTGAGGATTTGTGAGCTAGATGAAGTCTCTTAACTAGCTAGTATGTGGCCAAGCCAGGATCTAAACCAACCTATGTTTGACAGTGAAGTCTGTAATCTTCTCACTACATTATACTGCTTCACTCCTCAGCTCATGCTTGCCAACATGCTGATTCAGATTCAAACCAATACTGCAATTCTAGAATGGCCCCAGGACAGGGACAACTGTACAAGTCTCAAAGGATATAGCTCACTTTCAATCTAATTAGCTAACAGATGTTATGGCGCTGAAGTCCATGTTTTTGTTTTTTCCTTGTGTGTTTTTTTGTTTTTTTTTTTAAAGATTTATCTATTTATTTGAAGATTTTTTTTTTTTGACAGGCAGAATTAGACAGTGAGAGAGAGAGCCAGAGAGAAAGGTCTTCCTTCCATTGGTTCACCCCCAAATGGCTACTATGGCCAGCGTGCTGTGCCAATCTGAAGCCAGGAGCCAGGTGCTTCCTCCTGGTCTCCCATGCAGGTGCAGGGCCCAAGGACCTGGGCCATCCTCCACTGCCTTCCCGGGCCACAGCAGAGAGCTGGACTGAAGAGAAGCAACTGGGACAGAATCCGGCGCCCCAACTGGGACTAGAACCCGGGGTGCCGGCACCACAGGCGGAGGATTAGCCTAGTGAGCTGCAGCGCTGGCCTATCCATTTGAAAGGCAGAGTTACAGAGAGGCAGAGAGAGAGCAAGAGAGAAGTCTTCCATCTGCTGGTTCATTTCGCAAATGGCCACAACGGCAACAGCTGGACTGATCCAAAGCCAGGTGCCTGGAGCTTCTTCCAGGTCTCCCACATGAGTGCAGCGTTCCAAGTATCTGGGCCATCTTCTACTGCTTTCCCAGGCCATATCAGAGAGCTGGATCAGAAATGGAGCAACCAGGACTCGAACTGGTGCCCATATGGGATGCCTGCATTGCAGGTGGCAGCTACCCGCTATGGCACAACACCAGCCCCAAAGTCCATGTTTTTAATCAGCGATTGCTTTTAAGAGTCAAGTACAAGGGCCGGGCTTGATATAACAGGTAAAACTGCCACCTGCAATGCTGGCATCCCATATGGGTGCTGGTTTGAGTCCCGACTGCTCCACTTCTGATCCAGCTGTCTGCTATGGCCTGGGAAAGCAACAGAAGATGGCCCAAGACCTTGGGCTCCTGCATTAGCATGGGAGACCTAGAAGAAGCTCCTGGCTCCTGGCTTCAGATTTGCCAAGCTCCAATTGTTGTGGCCATTTGGGGAATCAATCAGTGGATGGAAGATCTCTCTCTACCTCTGCCTCTCTCTAACTCTGCCTTTCAAATAAATGCATAAATTAAAAAAAAAAAAAGAGTCAAGTACAGGGGCTGGTGCTGTGGCACAGAAGGCTAAGCCTCTGCCTGTGGCACCAGCATCCCATATGGGCGCCAGTTCAAATCTTGGCTGCCCACTTCCGATCCACCTCCCTGGTTAACAGCCTGGGAAAGCAGTGGAAGATGGTCCAAGTCTTTGGGCCCCTACACCCACATTGAGGTCCAGAAGAAGCTCCTGGCTCCTGGGTTTGGATCACCCCAGATCCAGCCTTTGCAGCCACTTGGGGAGTGGATGGAAGACTTCTCACTTTGTCTCTCCCTCTCTCTGTAACTCTGCCTCTTAAATAAATAAGTAAATCTAAAAAACAAACAAACAAAAACCTACACAAACACTTCCATTTAAAAAAAAAGGACAAGAGAAACAATATTCTGAGTTTGGTAATAGTGGTTAAGGAACATGTATAAGAGAAACGAAGTGGGCCGGCGCTGTGGTTCACTTGGCTGATCCTCTGCCTGCGGTGCCGGCAATGAGGGTTCTAGTCCTGGTTGGGGTGCCGGGTACTAGTCCCGGTTGCTCCTCTTCCAATCCAGCTCTCTGCTATGGCCTGGCACCTGGCTCCAAGCTTCGGATCAGCGCAGCGCTGGCCGTAGCGGCCATTAGGGGAGTGAACCAACGGAAGGAAGACCTTTCTCTCTGTCTCTCTCTCACTGTCTATAACTCTACCTGTCAAAAAAAAAAAAAAAAAAAAAAAAAAGAGGAACCAAGTGAGTTTCAAATCTCAGCTCTGCTCCTTAGTAACTATGTGAGTTTAGACTCTACAAAATGACCTTATCTCTGAGAATTCTTGAAAAGATACTGACACATAGTGCAGAAAAAAGCACTTTGTTAAACTTAAAACACAGATAAATGTTCAGAAGAATTGTACATTTGAAAAAGTATGTATATTATGAAAGTATAATTTCTTGATTTTGATTTATTTTAGTAGTTTGAAACTGTCTTTTTCTGATCTCTGATCACAGCTGTGTTGTGGCACTGCAGGCTAAGCCATCACCTGCAATGCTGGAATTCCACGAGGGCTGGTTTGAGTCCTGACTGCTCTACCTCCAATCGAACTCCCTGCTAAAGCACCTGGGAAAGCAGAAAACGGCCCACGTGCTTGGTCCCTTGCTACCCACACTGGAAACCCAGACAGAGCTCCAGCCTGGCTCCAGCTTAACACAGCCCCAGTCATTGAAGTCATTTGGGGAGTGCACCAGCGAATGGAAGATTTCTAATTGTCTTTTATATAAATAAATAAATATCTTGATAACACAAGTAACCCCTTAGTTTTAATATCATAACCAAAGGAAAACATGACCTGGTTTATTCCAGTTTTGAGGACTGTTTTAAGGCACTGCTTATGAGGATCTTCTATGTCAGGGGTGGGGAATCTTTTTTCTGACAAGGACCATTTGGATATTTATAAAATCATTCATGAGCCACAGAAAAGTTTCAACTTAAAAACTAGCCTGCTGGCCAGCGCCACGGCTCAATAGGCTAATCCTCTGCCTGCGGTGCTGGCACCCCGGGTTCTAGTCCCGGTTGGGGCGCCGGATTCTGTCTCGGTTGCTCCTCTTCCTTTTTTTTTTTTTTTTTTTTAATACAGGCGGAGTGGACAGTGAGAGAGAGAGACAGAGAGAAAGGTCTTCCTTTGCCGTTGGTTCACCCTCCAATGGCCGCCGTGGCTGGCGCACCGTGCTGATCCGAAGGCAGGAGCCAGTGCTTATCCTGGTCTCCCAAGCGGGTGCAGGACCCAAGCACTTGGGCCATCCTCCACTGCACTCCCGGGCCACAAGCAGAGAGCTGGCCTGGAAGAGGGGCAACCAGGACAGAATCCGGCATCCCGACCGGGACTAGAACCCGGTGTGCTGGCGCCACTAGGCGGAGGATTAGCCTATTGAGCCACGGTGCTGGCCTACTGATTGCTCCTCTTCCAATCCAGCTCTCTGCTGTGGCCCGGGAGTGCAGTGGAGGATGGCCCAAGTGCTTGGGCCCTGCACCCACATGGGAGACCAGGAGAAGCACCTGGCTCCTGGCTTCGGATCAGCGTGGTGCACCGGATCAGCGTGGTGCACCAGCTGCAGCGGCCATTGTGGGGTAAACCAAGGAAAAGGAAGACCTTTCTCTGTCTCTCTCACTGTCCACTCTGCCTGTCAAAAAAAATTAAAAAATAAACTAGCCTGCTTGAGGCCAGAACTGTGGTGCAGCGGGTAAAGCCACCACCTGCAGTGCCGGCATCCCATATGGCTGCCAGTTTGAGTCCCGGCTGCTCCACTTCCAATCCAGCTCCCTGCTTACGGCCTGGGAAAGCAGTAGAAGATGGCCCAAGTCCTTGGGCCCCTGCACCCACATAGGAGACCTGGAAGAAGCCCCTGGCTCCTGGCTTCAGATGGGCGCAGCTCTGGCCATTGTGGCTATCTGGGGAGTGAACCAGTAGATAGAAAACCTCTCTCTTTCTGTAACTCTGACTTTCAAATAAATAAATCTTTAAAAAGAAACTGAACAGTCATTCAGAGTCTGCTATATGCATACGTTGAAGTTGGAACAATAGGACCAGTAATGTATTATGAACAATGAGGTATTTTTTTTAAGACTTATTTATTTACTTGAAAGTCAGAGTTACACAGAGAGAAAAGAGGCAGAGAGTCAAAGAGACAAGGTGGGGAGGAGGTCTTCCATCCGCTGGTTCACTCCCCAGATGGCCACAAAGGCTGGAGCTGCACCGATCTGAAGTTAGGAGCCAGGAGTTTCTTCCAGGTCTCCCAGGGGGCCAAGGACTTGGGCCATCTTCTACTGCTTTCCCAGGCCATAGCAGTGAGCTGAATCAGAAGTGGAGCAGCTGGCACTCGAACCGGCACCCATATGGGATGCCGGCACTGCAGGCGGCAGCTTTACCTGCTACGCCACAGCGCCAGCCCCACAATATAGTATTTATGATTGCCTGTGTCATCCGTGCAGTTACTCTGCCTTAAATATGACTGCAGAATTGTGCGTGAATTGACTCTGATTAGGGGATGCTCCATGAGTAAATCCTATTGACTGCTTGCAGGGCTGTTTACCTTTTGGCTTTTCATGCTGTTTTCTGGAGAGGGAGCTTATAATAAACTTGACATCTGCATGTCATCAGCTCCTAGACAGAGGCCCCATTATGTCATCTTTGATCTGTTAAAATTAAAGTTCTCTAGAGTGACTTTAGGAATGGGTTTCTTAAAATTTCCATGTATATTCTCTGTAAAAGGATAATAAATATTTGTGTTTTGTTTACATAGAAAAGGGGTGGGGAACATCTGGCCTGTGGGCCATATAGGCCCATGAAATCATTTAGCTTGGCCTGCCCAAACAACCACAGGTGGGCTTCAAAATTAAAAAATTTATAAAGCAGGCTATTTTTTTTTTTTTTTTTAATTTGAAAGTCAAAGCTACCCAGAGATAGGAGAGGCAGAGAGAGAGAGAGAGAGAGGTCCTCCATCCACTGGTTCACTTCCCAACTGGCCTCAATGGCTGGAGCCCCTACTGTTCAGGTTTTATTTCCCAGTTTAAAAAAAAAAAAAAAAAAAAAAAAACCACAGGGGCTGGTGTTGTGGCATAGTAGTTAAATAAATAACCTGCCTGAAATGCAGGCATCTCATATGGGAACTATACATGTCCCGACTGCCCTACTTCTGATCCAGCTCCCTGCTAATGGCCTGGGAAAGCAGCAGAGAATGGCCCAAGTGCTTAGGCCCCTGTACCCTCATGGGAGACCTAGATGAACCTCCTGGCTCCTGGCTTCTGCCTGGCCCAACCCTGGCTGTTGCAACCATCTAGGCAGTGAACCAGCAGACAGAAGGTCTCTGTCTCTCCTTCTCTTTCTGTAACTCTCAAATATTATAAATACATATAAGGGTTCCAAGTTGGTTGAACACTTAGAATCCAAAGGTAAGGTGTGGCCCCCCATTACTGCTTTGAAATTCTTACCAACAGAAACGCAACAGATGAAAAAATGAATTAAATCTTTTTCATCTCATTCCATTAGCAATCTGCTGTGAAATCATGCACCAACAATTTTATTTTCCTGAACCTTTGCTATTCTCATTGCCACTAAAGAAATGATACATTTTTTCTTTTTTCTTTTTCTTTTTTTTTTTTTTTTGACAGGCAGAGTGGACAGTGAGAGAGAGAAACAGAGAGAAAGGTCTTCCTTTTGCCGTTGGTTCACCCTCCAATGGCCACCGCGGCTGGCGCGCTGTGGCCAGCACACCGCGCTGATCCGAAGGCAGGAGCCAGGTGCTTCTCCTGGTCTCCCATGGGGTGCAGGGCCCAAGTACTTGGGCCATCCTCCACTGCACTCCCTGGCCACAGCAGAGAGCTGGCCTGGAAGAGGGGCAACTGGGACAGAATCCGGTGCCCCGACTGGGACTAGAACCCGGTGTGCCGGCGCCACAAGGCGGAGGATTAGCCTAGTGAGCCGTGGCGCCGGCCAGAAATGATACATTTTCAACAATGTATGACATGAATAGACTCAAAAGAAATGAACAGAAAGCACAAATGTGGGGAGAAGTACCTAAAACCAAAACATCTCCTACTATTACTAAGAGCAGCTCAAGTTTGTATTTTATATCTTCCACTCCCACCATTCCACAGAACACAATGCTACATTCTATTCACTTTCCAAGTGTTATTTCAACAAACTCCTCGAACAATTTGACTACTGCTTTTATTCACCAGAACAGGAAAAAAGGAAAAAAAGGAAAAAAGTCACAGAGACTGAGGCAACCTAGCTAACCATCAGCTGTTTTCTGTTGTCATTTTAAATTCTGCAGCAAAAATGTTAATACAAATGGACCATGAACACCAAACGTAAAAACCTGCTCATGAAATTTTTACCTGTCCATGTATGTCTCCACACACTGTCACTGGTGTTGATACTGGTTGAACGTTTGACTCTTCTAAGAGGAGGTCACAAACATAGTCACATAGCCGCTGTAAGAGAAATAAAATGCAAGCTTTTACTAAAATATTAAAAATAAGGATCAAATAGAAAATAAACAAGGACATACTTAAAAGGATTAAGTACATATATGTGTGTGTGCATATATATGTGTGTGTGTGTGTATATATGTATATATATATATATATATATTATGATTTATTTATTTATTTGAAAGGCAGAGTTACAGAGAGGTACAGGCAGAGAGAGAAGTCTTCCATCCACTGGTTCACTCCCCAAATGGCCACAATGACTGGAGCTGAGCCAATCTGATGCCAGGAGCCAGGAGCTTCTTCTGGGTCTCCCACACCGGTGCAGGGGCCCAAGGACTTGGGCCATCTTCAAACACTGCTTTCCCAGGCTACAGCAGAGAGCTGGATCAGAAATGAAGCAGCCGATTCTTGGATCGGCACCTGTATGGGATGCTGGCACTGCAGGTGGTGGCTTTACCCGTTACACCACAGCACCAGCCTCAAGTACATAGTTTTTTAAAGATTTATAATTTATTTTGAGGGTCATGGAGAGACAGAAAGAGATCTTCTGGAGCCACCATTGTGGTATAGCAAGTAAAGCCTCTGCCTATGATGCTGGCATCCCATATGGGCTCCTGTTAGAGTCCTGGCTGTTCCACTTCTGATCCAGCTTCCCACTAATGTGCCTGGGAAATCAGTGACAGATGGCCCAAGTGGTTGGCCCCTGTACCCACACTGGACACCAGGAAGAAACTCCTGGCTCCTGGCTCTGGAATGGCCCAGCTCCAGCCTTTGTGTCCATTTGAGGAGTGATCCAGTGGATGGAAGTTTCTTCTGGGTCTACCACATGGGTTGCAGAGGCCCAAACACTTGGACCATCTTCCACTGCTTTTCCCAGGCCATTAGTAGGGAGCTGGATGGGAAGTAGAGCAGCCAGGACATGAACCCATATGTGATACCAGCGGCTTTATCCACCATGCCACAACACCATCACCAAGACTAACTATATTTGTTAAATATTTTATTTACTTTAGCCGCAGGGACACAGAAAGAGAGCCAGTTTCCATCTGCTGATTCACTCTCCACGGTGGCCAGAGTTGGAGCTGACACTGGATGTTAGGAACTCAATCCAGATCTCCCACCTGGTATCAGGGACTCAATTACTTGACCCATCACCATTTCTTCCCAGGGTCTACGTTAGTAGGAGGCTGGAGTCAGGAACCAGAGTCAGGCACTAAACCCAGGCAGCCCAACCAACTGAAACAGTAGGCCAAATGCTACTCCTAAGTATACTGTTCTTTTTAATGTTTGTTTATTTTCTTCAATTCGAAAAGCAGAGTGACACATAAAGAATGAGCGGGAGAACAAGTAAATGCACTATCTTCCACTGTCAGTTCACTCCCCAAATGCTTGCAACAGCCAGGGAGAAGCAGAAGCCAGGAGCTTGGAACTCCATCCAGGTCTCCCTCCTCTTTGGGTGGCAAGAACCCAAGCACTTGAGCCATTATCTGCTGCTTCCCAGGATGCATCAGCAGGCAGCTGGATAGGAAGCAGAGGTGTTAGGACAGGAACCACCACTCCAATATGGAATGTGGGTGTCTCAAGCAGCACATCACCCACCTCCCAAGTATATACTTTCTGACAAGAAAAGCAACTATTCTGCGATGATTCTAGGGTTAGATGTCTGTCAGCTTCACATAACACTTAATAATGCATAAGAATGACACAAGGACAGGACCAGCATTGTGGCACAGCAGGCTAAACTGCTGTATCCAATGCCATCATCCCATATGGGCACAGGTTTGAGTCCTGGAAGGTCTACTTCTGATCCAGCTCCCTGTTAATGTGCCTTGGAAAGTAGTGGGAGATGGCCCAAGTACTCGGGTCCCTGCCACCTATGTAGGAGACCCAGATGAAGCTCCTGGCTTTGGCCTGGCCCAGCCCTGGCAGATTCAGACATCTAGGGTGTGAATTAGTGGATTGAAGATCTCTCTCCATATCTTCTTCTCTATATATATAACTCTGCCTTTCAATTAAATAAATCTTTTTTTTCTTTCAAAAAGAATGATATAAGGACTATTCCAAAAGATAAACTCCCTTGCTAATTTTATAGTAAATAATTCTAGAAGTAAATATTTTTATTTGCTAACTTAAAAGTAAATTGTGTAGGCTGGCATTGTGGCACAGCCAGTTAAGCCACTGCTTGCGATTTCTGCATCTCATATGGGTGCCAATTTGAGCCCAGGCTGCTCCATTTTCAATCCAGTTCACTGCTAATGCAACCAGGAAAGCAACAGAAGATGGCCCTGTACCCTGGTGGAAGACCCAGATGGAGTTCTGGGCTCCTAGCTCTGGCCTTGCCCAGCCCTGGTAGATGCACCTGTTTGGGGAGTAAACCAGTGGATGGAAGATCTCTCCCCCTCTCCGTAACTTTGCCTTTTAAATAAATAAATATTAAAAAAAAAAAAAAAGTAAATTGGGGCTGGTACCGTGGCTCAATAGGTTAATCCTCCATCATGGTCTACTACTTCGCAATAAAAAGAACTACTGTCACAAAAATTGAATTAATTAAAAGCGACTTATGATGGGGGGGGGGGGAACCTGTCCCAAAAGGTTATATACTGTATGATTCCATTTATACAACATTCTTGAAATGACACAATTACAGAAATTGGTAACAGATTAGTGGTTGTCAGAGGTCCAGGAGTTAGTGTAGCACACAGAAGTAGGTGTGGCTGGGGCAGGCGCTGTGGCACAGCAGGTTAAGGCCCTGGCCTGAAGCACCAGCATCCCATATGGGCGCCAGTTCCAGTCCCCGGCTGCTCCTCTTCCGATCCAGCTCTCTGCTATGGCCTGGGAAGGCAGTAGAGGATGGCCCAAGTCCTTGGGCCCCTGCACCCATGTGGAAGACCTAGAACAAGCTCCTGGCTCCCTGCTTTGGATTGGTGCAGCTCCAGGCATTGTGGACATCTGGGTAGTGAACCAGCGGATGGAAGACCTCTCTGTCTCTACCTCTCTCTGTAACTCTTTCAAATAAATTAAATTAATCAAAAAAAGAAGTAGGTGTGGCTATAAAATGGTAACAAGAGGAATGTTGGGCCGGCACCATGGCTCACTAGGCTAATCCTCTGCCTGAGGCACTGGCACCCTGGGTTCTAGTCCTAGTTGGGGTGCCAGATTCTGTCCCGGTTGCTCCTCTTCCAGTCCAGCTTTCTGCTGTGGCCTGGGAAGGCAGTGGAGGATGGCCCAAGTGCTTGGGACCTGCACCCGCATGGGAGACCAGAAGGAAGCACCTGGCTCCTGGCTTTGGATTGGTGATGCTCGCTGGCCGTAGCGGCCATGTGGGGGGTGAACCAAGGAAGGAAGACCTTTCTCTCTGTCTCTCTCTCTCTCTCTAACTCTTCCTGCCAAAAAAAATAAAACAAAATAAATAAATTAAAAAAAAAAAAAAAAAGAGGAATGTTGTAGTGACAGAACCATGCTGTATTATATGGAATATGGTGCTTGATACATGAGCCTATAGGTGTAATAAAATCTCATAGAACTAAATGTACACATATCAATGAATACAAATAAACCTGAGAAATATGAACAAGATGGTGGGCTGTATCAATGTCAACATCCTGGTAGTAGTACTGGTAGTAGTATTGTATTATAGTTTGACAAAATGTTATTACTAGGGAAAACATTAAATGATACCTGGGACCTTTCTAGATTGTCTTACAATTGCATGTAAATTGACAATCATTCCAAAATTAAAACTGGAATTAATTATAAAGTGCAAATCTAAAATTAAAGAGTCAGGATAGGCATTGTAGTACAGTAGCATCTCATATCAGAGTACTGTTCAAGTCCAGGCTGCTCCACTTCTTCTTCTTTTTTTTTTTTTAAGATTTATTTTATTTATTTGAAAGTCAGAGTTACACAGAGAGAGAAGCAGCAGCAGAGAGAGAGAGGTCCTCCACCTGCTGGTTCGCTCCCCAAATGACCGCAACAGCCAGAACTGGACCAATCCGAAGCCAGGAACCAGGAGCTTCTTCCAGGTCTCCCACACAGGTACAGAGGCCCAAGGTCTTGGGCCATCTTCTACTGCCTTCCCAGGCCACAGCAGAGAGTTGGATTGGAAGTAGAGCAGCTGGGACTTGAACCAGCGTCCATATTGTATGCTGGCACTGCAGGCAGGTGGCTTTACCAGCTATGCCACAGTGCCAGCCCCTGGGTTGCTGCACTTTTGATCCAGCTTCCTGCTAATGCAGAAGTCAGCATGTGGGAGATCCAGATGGAATTCCTGATTCCTGGCTTCAGCCTGGCCCAGGTCTGGCTGTTGTGACCATCTAGGAAGTGAAGTAGCAGATGGAAGATCTCAATCTCTCTTGATACCTATCTCCTTTCAACCTTATCCCCCACCCCACTGTTCTCTTTCAAATAAATAAATCTTTTTTAAAAAGCTGGGATGGGTATTGTGGCATAGCAGGTTAAGATGCAACGTGGGACACCCACACCCCATATCAGAGTGCTGGTTGGGTTTCTGGCTACTCCCCGCTAATAATACACATGGGAAGCAGCAAATTATGGCCCAAGTACTTTGGCCCCTACTACCCATGTGGGAGACCTAGATGGAATTCCTGGCTCCTGGCTTCAGCATGATCCAGTCCCAGCTATTACAGCCATTTGGGGGGAGTGAACCAACAGATGAAAGAGCACTTCTCTCTCTTTCTCTCTTCCTTTCAAATAAATAAGTCTTTAAAAATTAAAGAGTAGCTGGCGCCGCGGCTCACTAGGCTAATCCTCCGCCTTGCGGCGCTGGCACACCAGGTTCTAGTCCTGGTTGGGGCGCCGGATTCTGTCCTGGTTGCCCCTCTTCCAGACCAGCTCTCTGCTGTGGTCAGGGAGTGCAGTGGAGGATGGCCCAAGTACTTGGGCCCTGCACCCTATGGGAGACCAGGATAAGTACCTGGCTCCTGCCATTGGATCAGCGTGGTGCGCCAGCCGCAGCGTGCCGGCCACAGCCGTTGGAGGGT